CTCTCCCTCTCTCCCTCTCTCCCCCTCTCCCTCTCTCCCTCTCTCCCCCTCTCCCTCTCTCCCTCTCTCCCTCTCTACCCCTCTCCCCCTCTCCCTCTCTCCCTCTCTCCACACATAAGTGCCCCTGTTTTGGGATAAGGAAGTTGTAGGAGTTGAGTGGGACACTTTTTTTTTTTTTTTTGAGGTGGAGTTTAGCTGTTGTCTGGGCTGGAGTGCAGTGGTGTGATCTCGGCTAACTGCAACCTCCACATCCTGGGTTCAAGCAATTCTCCAGCCTCATCCTCCCAAGTAGATGGGATTACAGACAGGCATACACCACCATGCCTGGCTAATTTTGTATTTTTTGTATTTGGCCAGGCTGCTCATGAACTCCTGACTTCATTCAGGTGATCCACCAGCCTGCCCTCCCAAAGTGCTCAGCCACTGCAGGTGTGAGCCATTGCACCTGGCCAAGTGGGGGCACTTGGGTTGAGTAGGTCAAGAATACTGCTTTCCCTTGGTAGATGACAGGCTACTGCTTACTGGGATGGTATTTTAATTCATCTGCATTGCTGAAATATCATGGTCTTTCCTAAGCTTTGAATGAACATAGTCTGTTCCATTCAGTTAGGAAAATAAATTGATAGCTTTAAATTGGGGGAGGAGAGTGGGAAGAGACTTTTTCAAGCTATTACAAAAAAATATTTTAGCTGGGCACGGTGCCTGACACCTGTAGTCCCAGCACTTTGGGAGGCCGAGGCGGACGTATCACTTTAAGTCAGGAGTTCGAGAACAGCCTTACATGGTGAAACCCCGTCTCTGCTAAAAATATAAAAATTAGCCGGGTGTGGTGGCGGGCACCTGTAATCCCAGCTACTAAGAGCTGAGGCAGGGGAGTTGCTTGAACCTGGGAGTCCGAGGTTGTAGTGAGCGGAGATCATGCCACTGCATTTCAGCCTGGAGGACAGAGCAAGACTCCAAAAAAAAAAATATGTATGTATATATATACATGATGTCACTTGAACACTTCTGCTTTTTTTTTGGTTGGCGAAAATAGTCTTTAGGATATTAATTCCACTGTGTCTTCCTTAGTGAAAAGTGATAATGAGTAAAGGATTTTCACTCTGCATGTAGACAGTATGGATTTAATAGTCATGAGTTTTCTTGAAAGGCCCTGATCTTGAATTACTTTGGGCAGAACTACTGAGTCTGTTTGAGATTGCAAATTGAACTATTGTGCTTGGTAGACCTTAGATTTATTTCTGTTTGCAAAGAGAAATACACATCAAAGATACAAAGAAATATAAATTGTCTTAAATTGTACTTCAGAATAATTGGACTGAGTTCCTTGATGTCTTATAAATTTTATTTTATTTTTAGTGTTTTATAAAGGCCATGTGATTATTTGTTGCATAGCCCTAAACAGCTTTATAGTTTAATTAAAAATATTATAGTTAATTTATTGTTGGTGTTTACTAATATAACCATCTAACTTACTGTCACCTTATATGTTGATTTTTTTTTTTTTTCCCTAAGAGAAACCTTTTTATCCATGTAAGTAAAGTTTAGCAGTAGAAATAAGAATATAAGGCCGGTCGCGGTGACTCACGCCTGTAATCCCAGCACTTTGGGAGGCCAAGGTAGGCAGATCACCTGAGGTCAGGAGTTGGAGACCAGCCTGACTAACACGGAGAAACCCCGTCTCTATTAAAAATACAAAAATTACCCAGGCATGGTGGCCCATGCCTGTGATCCCAGCTACTTGGGAGGCTGAGACAGGAGAATTACTTGAACCCAGGAAGTGGAGGTTGTGATGGGCTGAGATTGTGCCATTGCACTCCAGCCTGGGCAACAAAAGCAAAACTCTCTCAAAAAAAAAAAAAAAAAAAAGGAATAAGAATATAAGTGTCAAAAAGATATCTGATGTCTGATGTTGCTTTTACTTTTGACTTTAACCAGATTTCCCAAATGGTAACATTTTACCATATTTGCTTTATTCTCTGTAATACGTAGTTTTTTTTTTTTTTTTTAACTCATTTGAGTGTAAGTTGAAGACATGCCACCCTTATCCTTAAATACCTCTTTGTGTATTTCTGAAAAACCAAGGCATTTGCTTTCTTCTTTTTTTGTTTGATACTGAGTCTTTCTCTTTTGCCCAGACTGGAGTGCACTGGCACGATCTCGGCTCACAGCAGCCTCTACTTCTTGGATTCAAGACATTCTCCTGCCTCAGCCTCCCAGGTAGCTGGGATTACAGAGGCCCACCACCATGGGTGGCTAATTTACATATATGTATATGTGTATATATATATATTTTTTTTTTTTTTTTTCCTTGTTTGGGGAACAGTTGAAATGGTCCTTCAGGCAATCCTAGATAAAATTTCTATACACTCAGGGAACAACATTTCTTTCTTTCCCTTTCCTTTCCTTTTCTTTTCCTTTCCTTTCCTTTTCCTTTTCTTGCCCTTCCCCTTCCCCTTCCCCCTTCCCCCCTTCCCCTTCCCCCCTTCTCCTTCCCCTCTTCTCCTTCCCCTTCCCCCCTTCCCTCCCTCTTTCCTTCCCTCCCTCCTTCCTTCCCTCCT